ACATTCCCCTTTTCAATTTTCTTCATGTCATTCGCAATATTATATTCGCAATGTACTCACCCCTGGAAGATCGAGTCGGGTCACGTTCAAGAGGCTCATTAGACGTCGGTTTACCCCTTATATGATTCGACCAGGGATTCAGCCCTAAGAGCGACCATTGGTGCGTGATCTCCGGCAAGGTGAATAACATGCTAACGCAGCCTAGCGTGCGGTAGATAGAGCACCATCTCCCCACCGGCGGAAATGATGCTCCAGCTATCGTAGCGATATACAAGATAAATATTCCATGGTAGCGTGATGGCATAATCGCGCTTTCGAATTACCGGTGCTCGCGAAAATGCATTTCCCGATTGGTGACGCAGGGACACATCCGTGCTGACACTTAAGACTAAAGCCGCCGACTGACTGTCAATGGGACCACGCGGACGTGTCAGACCCACGCGTCTCAAGGCCTCTCCTGCCACCGGGCACAATATCCCCGGACGAGTTTCAATTTCGTATGTACATTGATTTTTATCAAGACACAGTAGAGTATACATGTCGATGATGATTATCAGTAAACACACTTCGAGGTAACATATTCTTAAGTATTCTTGTTATACATATCATTCTTGAGTATCTTGTTGAATTTTTTATAGATTCTCTATAAAAAGTAAAAAGGAAAGAGAGGATTCAATGATAAAAGAGCAATGATGAAATTAAATTTGATAAAATAAGAATGAATATAAGATATGATAAATTTTGAAGAATTATGTCAATTCAATGTGATTTTATTTTTACACATACACGCGCGCGCGCGCGCGCGCGCGCACACACACACACACACACACACACACACAATGCAATAATTTTGCAATAATTTTGATACATATTTTGATTTTATGTCTAAAAATCAATAAAATTCTTTTCCATGAATCTTTTTATATATAACGTTATGATTTTGAAAATGTTTGGAAGATATTACAAAAGTAGATTATATACATTTTTTTTTAGGCTCAAAATATACTAATTATATGATTCCATTTTTCTTTTTTTAGTGTATATTATGCTAGGATAAATATATGTAAAAATATATATAGTTCTATATATAAATATTCGATTCGATATATAATAATAATACAATATAATGATAATAAGCTGAAAGGATTATTTAAATAACAGAATGTAATAAGTAATAGATATTCAGCGAGATAGGGTTTTAACACGCCTAATATAAATATCGCTTAGTGATACTGAATGTACTGGTTGTAGACATGTTCTTCAGAAAATCAAGATATGCGAACATTTTCATTACAGTTTTTACATTTAATGTAATGTATATCTTTAATATCTAAGGGACATACAAAATTTAATTTTCTATGATATCCTCCGATCAAAATCTACATACGCTGATAAGGGATTGTGTACGTAGTTATATAATACATAATTCTTAATTATAAAAATGTGTGTATTGCACTTTATAATCTCACTTTTTAATTAATTACTGTAATTCTGTAATTCTTGATTTAAATCAATACTAAATTTAAATATTAATCACTAAAATTATTAAAAATTATAAAAAGTCATGACAAAATATCTCCAAAAAATATCTCCAAATAAACTTCTCATCAGACGAAAATTAATTGTGTAAATTTAATTAAAATCTCACGGATCCTTACTTTCCATTTTTTTTTTTTTAAATTGTCGCCTACGTGTGATAAAAAAAAATTTATTTCTTTTTCACCGACTTTAGACAAAGTGCAAATTTTTTTTATTTATTTCTTTAAATTATCATCAATCGATTATTCATCAACTCACTTTGGCATTTAGCCACTTGTATAGGAGGCGCCTCGCTCATTTCCAATCATTTCTGTTTCACACACATACGCAGCCGCAATGTCCGGCCCGCGTCATGGCCGCGAAGGGGCGAAAATGTCGTTTCTCGTAAACGAGATTAAAAAATAATCAGTCTGCGACGCAGATCATATCATCTAACGAGCGACGATAACGATCGGCAACTAGGTAAGTCAACTCCGTCGGCTCGCCGGCTCCGAGTGGCCGGAAAAAAAACGTAAACACGGAACGACGAAGTCAACAGTCTGAGACGACACAAAGCAACGAGGTGCATTCGATTTTCAGGGGAATCATTTTTGCCTTCGTAGCGTTACGTCTCGCCGCGTTGTTGAAACGGGCGCGTTTTACTTCTTACGAGGACGTGTGCTGGCATAAACGTTTGCCACTACATCAACCTCACTTTGTTGTATCTCTATCTTTCTCTCTCTTTCTCTCTCTCTCTCTCTTCCACGGCTAATTATACATACATAATTTAATACGAGATCGGTCTTTCCGTTCGGAACGAATGCACGTATTCTCGTAGAACGCGCCGTGTTACATAGCACGATCATCGCGAACGATTGATTCGCCCTCGAGTCAAGAATCAATTTGGTGAAGTTAAAAGCGTCTTAACTTCGCCCGGCTTGTGCCTCCAACGGAGATCAGTTCAGTTTTTAAGTTGTTTCTGGTGGTTCTTTGGTGGTTTTTCGTAGTGGAACGGTTCTCGGGGTTTCTCTGAGATTCTCACCGAGATTCTCTCTCGTGGTAAGTGGTAAGTAGCTGGAGAAATTGTTCATACACTCCAGCAAAATAGTCTTAGCAGTGATACTCTTAGCGACCAGTAAAAATGGTAAAATAAATGTCTTACCTTCCCTTGTATAATGAAACATTGTAACTTGTCACATTTACACACGTGTACTTAAAAAAAATTTATACTTTACCTGTGATACAGCCGTTTTGTGCAGCTTTTTGTACTATGTTGCGGTAGTCGAATTATAAAAGCTTTTTTGAAGTTATATTTATAAAAATAACGAATTTTTAAATAATGTATTTCGCTTTTATGTGACATGTGTCTCTCTTACATATGCACGTGTACATGGAATACAAACCCATAGTTCAATTGTACTTCTTAAAGTTAAGTATGACAAACACCTATCTTTTATACTAATTAATTGTGTTGAACATTGGATATGTACGACACACTGCAAATATTCATGTCGGTCAAATTAGTTGTTAGCGTATGCGGCAATGATATGGTAAGTAAGTACGGCCAATTCAAATCTTTTTCACTAAGCTATAATAATTAATAAAATTGTTATGCCAGAATATTGCTACTACAGGGTTGGTTGCAACACATGAAGTTGCATTCATGGATTAGCTTGGTCATCTGTGAATGTAACATTTGCTTACACTTATTACTGCATAACTTTATTTTTTTCCTAATGCTCTCGATGAAGATTCAAACTTGTAAATTTTAGATATCACTTTTATTGTAAGCGAAATGCAATTGCAATTTTGTGCCAACCTTGATGTATTACAGTCGTCACTTTTATAGTCTTATAAGATATTGATATTTTCAGAAAGTACTGGTGGTGACCGTGCGTTTGCTGTTACGGCTATATCATGCAGAACTTTGATGATCTTGATATAGAGGGACGTAATCCTTCTCATTTATCAGAAGAGGATAAGGAAAAGGTAAACAGCGAAAAATGTAGTGCTGGGGAATACAGAGTCAGCCATAAATTATCGATTGTGCATGCAGTAATAGTAAAGAAATTGTTACCTAGACGTAACTATATGTACTATTCAATCTGATTATTTCGAGCTTCTACTATGTATGCTTCGACATATAAAGATTTACCATTTTATTACACAAAAATCATATATAGAAAATATCGTCACGAATTACGGATATTTTTGAGAATAGCATTCGGCAATGGAAGATCGTCCGGCTCACGAATCGTTTATGTTTCATAGGAAGAATATGATCGGAAGCGTATAATGCGATGTAGCGTTACCGCTGAAGACGGCGCACTGAGACCCGTCTATTCTGAGACTGAAGATGGTGATATATGGTGTCATATCTGTAATGTTGCCTTGTTCGGGGCTCATAAATTGATAAATCACAATTTGTGCAATCGTCACAAAATGAAATTGGAGGAATGGCCATATCCAGTTATGCTGTGGTCCAAACGGCCGGATGTGGCCAAGATGGTCGCACCAGTGCAATCTGCCAATATCAGCGATACCTTGGCGCCTGGGGAGCCAGTACCACCTGGGATGGAAGATCAAATAACGCGAATCACGTCGATACAGATGAGCTTAGATCGTCATCAAAGCTCGCCGCTCGTTGGCCTTGAGTATCTACTGGAATTGGTGGACAACGACTCTTGTGAACCGAGTTATACATGTGTTTTGTGCGACAAACGTGGCGATCCGCGCACAGTAATGGCTCATATTACCAGTTACAATCACCGTATCACGTATCTGAATAGACATTTTCCAACTATATCGCGCGCAATTACGGAGTTACCGCGTACTCCTAATTATAAGCGCGGAGCCAATGAAATATCGGTGTTAGTGGCGAAGAAAATTGAAGAAAAGTTTGGAAGAATGAAGCCGCAATTGGTAGACAAAGCACAGTTTGAAAAGAATAAAATGCAGTATATCAAGAGGGTATATCAGGATGTTCATTTTAGGTAAATCAAAACATCCAAATATTATCATCGTTCAAGATTGATTTTCTCAATTTATGTTCAAAATGTGATGTAAACATTATTACGTCACATTTATAATACATTTCAAGTTAGTTACTTTAATTTTTTATTTGATATATTGAAATCAATATAGTGGTTTCCTGTATATAGGGAAACATCAGAGTGTACTTTTATGGAAGTTTACGATGTGCGATGGGTAACAAATTTTGATGAAAAAATGGCAGAAATGAATGGTAATAATGTTAGAAAAAAAGGTGAGTACACAATGTGAATTTTATATGATTATCTCTTAAATATGACGAATGTTTAAATTATTAATTTTTAATTTCTATCAAGATACTCCTGATAAAAAGATTGATGATAAAATTAAAAAAGAAGATAAGAAAAAGGAAAAGTCACCTAAAAGAATGGACTCTAAGGGAGAAACTGTAACAAAATCGTGAGTAAATAAATCCAAGTAATAAAAAAATATAATTTCTACAGATTTTAAATTAATATTTTAACATATTTCAAAAAAGTATAATTTTTCATTGAATCAGTATTTGAATACATTCAAAATGGTACACATTTATCATTATTTTTTTCTCTTAAAATTTTAATTTTTAATATGGATATCTGTAAAGTTTGAAAACATCTTTTTCATTTTAGGGGTTTTAAAATGCGTATAGTTAATAAGGACAAAATGAGTCTTCGCAAAACCTCGCCAAAACTTGAAGAAGAGAAAAAATCACCAAAACGACCCTCAGACGACATCAAATCTCTCTCATCACTTTCGAGCATATCACTTTCGAGCAGTCCATCACCATCCCGTTCGAGATCTCGTTCACCAAATCGAAATAAAAGAAGAAGTTCCGTTGAAAGAAACGCAGGAAAGTATCGTAATTTGAGACATTCGCGCGAACGTACTCGTGGTCGATCGCGATCACGATCGCGATCTTTACAGCCTCTTAGGGAACGCGACAAATGGGATAAGTACCGCGAGCAAATTAGACGTGCCGAAGAAACATTAGATCGTGCTCTAAAGTTTCACGAGAAGAATCCTGAAAAACATCCGTCTTATCCAGACGAGTGGAAGAAATTCTGGAACAGACGATACAAGGAACTTCAGGCTGAAGGTAATGATCCAAGTAAGCATGACTTCAAGCCAGAGTGGATAGAGTTTTGGAACAAGCGGATGCGCGAAATTCATAACGAACAACTTCAACAACGGAAAGAAGAGATTAAAAAGAGATTGGAATTACCTGAAGAAAAACCACCGGAAAAGTGGATCCCACCGAGGCGGGAGCGAGAGAGGGAACGAGAGCGAGAACGTGAACGTGAACGTGAACGTGAACGTGAACGTGAACGTGAACGTGAACGTGAACGAGAGCGAGAACGAGAGCGAGAACGTTCTCCTACGAAACGTAGGCATCGTATAGAAAGTGATGATGAAGTAGAGTACGTTGGTACAAAGATGGTTAAACCCGAATATTATGATCGTCATGAACTCAGAGACCGAGAATACATGTATCCAACATATTCACGCGGAAGAGGAAATGTATATAGTCATAATTATCCAACACGTACTAGACCAATATATTATGCGACTCCGTATCCCGTAAAAGATAAATCGCCTACTCCACCATCTGTAACCGAAGAAGTATTGAAAGAAGATCTTGAAGTAGTCGGTTTATTGCGATTACTCACAGCGCTCGAAGGACAGCTAGGTTCTCTCGGTCCTAAGATAGTATCACTTTTGTCTAAAGCTTTAGCTGCTGAGAAAGCAAAGCCAAATTCCGCTGAAGAGTTATTGTACGACGAGGAAGTAAGCGTCTTGTTTGAGACCGTTAAAGAAAAACTCAAAGGTCAATTGTTTGCGGGCATGGTAGAAAAAATGGCAATCACGGCCACTAAAACGGCTATACAAAATATCGCTAAGTTGCTGCATAGAGCTTCTGAGAGCAAAAAGAAGTTGGAAGAAGAAAAGAAAAAGAAGGAACGAGAACTTCTGGAAGCATCTAAACCTATGAGTTACATTAATCGAAGCACCTACTCAAGACCGGTGGAGATAATTACACCGGCTATTAAATCTGAACCAGTGAGCGTACCTGGTGTAGGTACAGTTGACAAAGTCGCCATTGCTCAGCAGATTGCCGCAGCTCTTGTCGCGCAAGGTAGATCAAATGTTTCGCAAGAAGAACTAGAGACTCTCATTAACGCTGTAGTTGGTATGGCCGAGGCGTCGAAACACTCCGATAAACCCGTTACTACTGCTGACTTTGTCAAAGGTTTGACGAATTGCGGCACTGCCGCTTCTCAAGCAACGGAGCTTGTCAAAACGACGACTATCTCGGCCGAATCCGTGGAACGACAGAAAATAGAGAATCTATCGGACATGGATTTGAAATTAAAATTGCAAAAATTTAAAGATTTAAGCACGGAAGAACAGCAAAGTCTTATAAGTTCCTTGAAGAAACTCGAGGCAAGTGACCCATCAAGAGTCGAGAAGTTAAGAGACTTCGTCAATTTAGGCATGAATGTATCGACGACATCTGTATCTATTTTGGGAAGTACGAAATCACCGAGTCCAGAAGTTGAAATTGGTAAAGGCAAAAAGAGTAATTCTCCATTTTCCACTCGTAAAGGAAATCAGAATCCAACTGACGATGATGATAAATGGAAACCTAAACTGGACATGTTTGCGAACGATGAGGACGACGAGCTACAAATAAAAAAGGATAATGATGACAAAGCTAAAATCAAAACTATAGATTTGTCTGATGATGATGACGACTATACATATGAAGATATCTACAAGGCAGCAAATAAGAATGTGAGCGAGAATGAAAAAGCAAAAAAGTCCCATGCCTTTTCCAAATCGCCAAAATCTTGGTCTCGATCGCGGTCGCGATCACGATCGAAATCGAGATCAAGATCAAGATCGAGATCGCGATCATCAATGTCGCAGCGAAAAGACATGGCAAAAACAAACGATCCAAATGCGATATTGAATGAAACCAAACGTCTAATCGCGAATATTATGTGTGACCTGCCGAATAAATATGTTCCAAAATCGCTGAGTCTGAGTGGTGAAAAAACCGAAACCATAGCGAGTTCCGCTGAGCCAGCGCCGCCAGGTGCAATACCGAGCTTTTACAATCAAGGTTTTCTTCCGAGCAACCAGCCACGGCCGCAGGAACAACCGATGACCTATCCTAACGTCTCGAACCAACAGTTCTCGAATTATCAACCGCAACCGCAAATGTTCTCTAATAATTCGGGATATGTAGACAATGGTTATAATTATCAGGGTTATGGTAACATGGGTAATCAAGGTCAATACGGTGGACCACCGAATCAGTATCCTCAACAAACTTACGGCTCTTACGGCGCACAAAGTGCACCTCCGTCAAACTACATTCAGCAACCGCCGTCGCAGCAATACGACCCGTATATGCAGCAACAGCGATTTTATTGAATAAAATAGTCTTCATTGATGATTTTTTTAAGTCATCTGGTTTGATCCTACATTCGTACAAGCTAGAAAAGAGCTCAAATTTCATTTTGTACAGTTGTACAAGTTTGTGTGTATAAGTTTTGAATTCTCTTCTCATGTGTTCCCTCTTTATATATTTTTAACAAAGTGGATTAGGATTTTATTTTGATTAATGGATGTATAGCATTCTTATTTTTGCGCAAGTGTTTCCGCAATGTTAATCCTAAAAGATGTACTTAGAAAATTATAATTCCGGATATTCGGCCCGGTTCTTCTACGTATGTATCTCTATTTATTTGTATATGAAATGAAATCTCTGTTCACAATTCCTCACGCATTTCGATAAAGATAAAAAAAAATAATTGTTATGATGAGGGTAAAAGAAATAATTGTATTGTTATTTGTAAATGAGAATTTCATTTTGGTGTATAACAAAATGTGAGAATTTCATTGCATTTTATGCTATGTATGTAATATCATGAAATTTGAAATTAAATTAATAATTTAGGTAATCTAGTAGTTTAAATAATACCTAATTATTAATTTAAATTATTAAATTTAAATTATTAAATTTAAAAAAATTTCTCTTTTACCCATAAATCGAATCGTTTATTCGCATTCGTTTTCGCGTAATTTTTCATGTATGCTGCGCGGGTGTGTGCCAGTGAAAGTCTCATAGTGTACATTGACCGAATGTACATCGCTTTTGAGTGAATTGTACAAGTATGAAGTGAATGTGTACTGTTACGTACATCGTACGGCTTCGATCAAACGAAAGTAAGTAAAATAAACAGACTAACCATCAGACTTACGTACGTGTGTGTATGTATCTTTAAAAGATGATTTTACTATTTGTAAGATATTTGATAAAATAATAATCGTAATCGCTTTTATTGCATAGAAATTGCGGCGATATTTAACGAGAACAGATCGCAACAATTGCGATAAAATAATCATAAAAGGTGTTTTAGACTGTTAAATTACTTTGCACCGAAAACGGAACATTTAATATAATCAAAATGTAATTCTTTAATAAATATATAGACATTACACGAATAGCGTAGTTGTAATATATTTGTCATCAATTTAAGTAACGCAAACTTTTTTGGAGGGCTTATGTTTTTGTAAAGACAGTAATTGAAAAAAAAAAAACATGACAACAATAAAATAAAAAAATCAGTTAAAAAAAATAAAAAAATGTACACCATTCTATTTAAAGCAATCCTTATAATGCAGAAATTAGAGAGGATATTTCAAGTAGAAAGAAAATTTCAAGAGCTATTTTATACTGTATTATTACAACAGTTATGTTCGAGACGTAGTGACATATCATATGTTTACGCATTGCACAATGACTAGAGAATTGCAGGACATATTTCGTTTTCCTTGTCCGTGTACCTCCTACGCAACCGCGAAGAATTAAAGCACAATATGCGGTTTACATAATATATATATATATATATATATACACTCTTCTTTACAAACAAAAATAAAAAGCGCGCCAATCGGGGTTTTAATCATTTCATTCCGATTTCATTTACTTCGGAACGAGGCCTCTCGTTTTCGGGTAAACCGGCGCCGGGATTTGCTGCATCTTGGTAACACTCTTCGGCCTAATTCGCGCCGACTGCAAACGCGGTTTGGTTCGCAGCCTCGTGCTCGAGGCGTCGACATCTATATCGCCTTCATCGCGCAGAGCTTCCTCCAGAACGGCCTGAATCGTCGGCGCGATTGCCGGTCCCTGATAATCCAAGGTCGTCCGTGCCGGCATGTCGAGGTCCAAGTTAAGAATGTTCTCGCCCGCGTAACGGCACCCTCGTCCCATCGCGAGAGCGATCCGCGCGTATTCCGAGACCGGCCTACGGGCACCTGGTACGGAGGTCGGTCGCTTAATGGCATCTATACTCGATGGCTCGGGATCTTTCACGATCCAGCAGTCCTCCTCCTCGTCCAGATGGATTCTGGATAGAATCTTCGTCTTTTCTTCCTCGGGAATAAAGTTCTCGATTATGAGGTATTTGAGCTTGAGCTCCTTCATCAACTCGTGTTGCTCCTGCTCCAAGTCTCGTCTGTCTCTGTTGTAGTCGCTGGTCACGTCCTCTAACTCTTGCTTCAAGGCCTGCAGTTTAGTGAAGCATTTCCGTAATTTCCTAGACTTGACATCTACCTCTTGCTGCAACGTGGTATAGGTCTCTCTCACGCCGACCATCGTCAATTCCTCATCCTCCAGTTTCTGTTGCATCTCGACCTCGCGTCTCTTACGTTCCGCGATCTCAGCCGCTTTTTGCTCCAACGCTCTTTGCTGTTCGTTCGTGTGATCGATTATGTTTTTACCACCGCAGAGCATCTTACTCTCCAAGTCCTTTATTCTCTGTACGAGATTTTCAGTCTCTTGCTTCTCGGCCTTCAACTGCTCCGCTATGAGTTTCTTGTCGGTTTCGGATATCTTATTGTCTTCACCTCGACTATCTTCTGTCTCAGATTCCGAATCAATTGTCTCATCCTCCTTTTTTCTTTTTGATTTCTTCTTCTTTCGCTGCACCACGCCTTTTTGCGCAAGTTTTTCTTTCAATCGACCTATCTCCTCCTGATATTGCCTCAGTAAAGCATCCTTTGGATCTTCATTAATCCTAGGCTTGTTCTTGATGTTCTTAGCGCGGCTAGCATATCGTAGAGTTGTCAGAGTCTCATCGTAATTGTAGCTGGCCGGTCCGATGTTTGCCACCATAATCGTCTTTGAATTACCACCCAAAGAATCCTGCAGCAACCTCGTCAGCTTAGAGTCACGATATGGCACATGCGTGGTTTTACCGTCCACCAACGCCGAGATCACATTACCCAAAGCCGACAGACTCAGATTGATTTTGCTCGCCTCTTTTAATCTCTCTCCCGACGAGCCAGTTTTACTTTGTCTCTCGCTGCCCGCGAGGTCGACTAGATTCAAGCGTCCCACTCGGATGCCACCGGAGTCACCGATATTCCCCATCTCGATCGTAATGAGAAAGATCGCGTGTGACCGCGAACTGTGCTCGTTCATGTTCGTCGCGCCGATCGTTCTGTTTTGATTGCCCACGTTCATCAGGTGCTGTATCTCAGCCGCGCTCTTGCAGACGGCGGTCGACAAGTCTTTAACATATACCCCAATATCCGGCTTTTCTTTCAGCTCGAAGCGTAGGCTCTGATCCGGATGCAGCAGATCACGTATTTCCTCCTGATAAATCTCCAGATAGCTAGCCCTCACCAGATACTGCATGTTCTCCGATCTGCCGATGTGATTGAATATGTGTTCGAAGGAGCGCGGGATGATGCCACGTCTCTCGTGATCCGTCTTGGAGCCCTCCATAGTGTACGTTTTTCCGGTGCCGGTCTGTCCGTAAGCGAAGATAGTGCCGTTGAAGCCATCGAGTATCGAGGACACCAGTGGCCTGACCGTCTCCTCGTACAGCTCCTGCTGGCTGGAATTCCAATCGTATACCGCGTCGAAGGTGAATACCTTGACGGTCTCGCTGGACGGATCGTCGCGTGGATGCCGCACCTCAACCGCGCCTCTGGACGGGATCACGTCGACCACGCGAGTGTAATTGCGACTGATCTCCCGCTCGTCCATCGGTCGACATCGTACGACCACCTTCACGCACTGCGTCGCTACCTCCGCGCCCGCGCTTGACTTCATACTCTTCTTCTTCCAGGCCTTCTGCTGGTTGTCCAACTTTTCCATACCGACGGTAAAATATGCGGCTCTCGTCTGCAAAGCGCGAATTCATGATTATGTTCTTCATTCTGATGTTAGAATCAAATGTCTACTAATTTAACTAATTTCCGTGCTAATTTAATATTTTGATAATTTTCTTAATAAATTCAGTCAGGGAGGTCTATCCCCTATTCCCTGGAATTCTCAAAGGAATTTCTTTTCATTCTTGAAAATCAGAATATTATGGATATTTATTGCGCCATATAAAAATTCTTTAATTTTACTTGAAATTTTAAGTACAATACTTGAAAAATCCGGGAATTCTCCGGGAAATTTTTTTACTTTCGGAAATGCTTAGTTTTCGAGATATTTCACCGGTGCGAAATTTTTTACTTACCCTGTATACTTAGATATTTTAAGACTATACAGTAAAAAACATTTTGTATTTGTGTTAAAATCGGTCCTTGTTAAAATTTTTGTGTTAAATAATCTACATATTTATATGTAAATTTAACACATGTCTACTATGTTGACTGATCTTAACAAATATAAAATGTAAAATTATTAAAATGATTTAAGAAATGTGTTAAAATAACACAATTCGTACGTATTTATTTAATATGTTAAAATTTACACACAAAAAATGTTGGTTTTACTCTATAACAGGAGTGGGGCTGACTTGTTATTATTCTTTGTGTGGTTTCGACAGTCTTGAATTTTGACGCGTTTCGACGTGTTATTTTATCATAAAAATTATGTTAATTGTAACACACAATTAACTTCAAATTAAGATCAAGAGTACATTTCTTTTTTGTTGAAATATTAACATAGTGTCGATATTACTATTTAACACATCCATATTGTGTTAAAATTAACACAAAATTTTGAGTGGACCGTTTGGGACATGCGATTTATGTTAAATTCAACACATTTTTTCCAACAGTGTAGATATTTTAAGAATGTACATAGCATATTTTATTTATTGCATGAAAACTAATTTAATGGCGATTAGCATAACTGAAATTTTAAGCAATATAGAAATAAATTAAAAATTTTTATATTATTAGATAGATAATACAACTAAATCTTACTAAAAATGAAATTCTTCAATCAGCACTGTAGCCTACAATTGCTCAATATTACTTTCATAAAACTTCGTCGCCATGTTCACACAACTTTTAGAATCGATAAAACTTGGCATGATACATCATAAAATTCGTATGTAATATTAATAATCAATACAATATTTTTTAAAATTTCAGTATTTTTTGAATTCTCGCTTCCAAAAAGAAAATGCAAAAGCAAGTTTGTTAATCAAAAATGATTATAGAACCTTTACACATATCATCTATAGACTTATAAGATGACTATTTTCTGGTTTCATTTTAAGTGCGCTTAACTGCATTCCATTTGAATCAAGTATCAATCGAGACAATAATATATATAATTAAAATTCACAGAACAAATCGTCATCAAAGATACAAAAAAGGATTATTTTATAAATAAATACCGGATTAGATGTTTATTTTGTCTTTTACTTAAATCGCGTTCACATTATAAGATATCTCGTCTATAAAAATATAGTTTTATATTTTATATATATAATCGTTATTCTATTTGATCAAATAATTTAAACACAACTTTATAAAATATTTTATACATTAAAATAACTTTAATATCATATATTTTATAAATTAACTTTACAAAATATATGATAAAAAAATGCATAATAAATTTGATATTAAGACGTATTTCTTTTAATTTCTCGATCTTAATCGAAAACTTATAGAAAGCACAGCAATACAAAGAATTACCCTAAATTATATATTAACAAAGAAAAAAAATCACGATAAGAAAATAATCGTGAATTATTTTTTTCGTGTGCTGCATTAAGATGAATAATCTATTGAATTTATAATACTTACGATTAAGGGTTAAATGTACGAATTGTACGTCACGTTATGTCATGTCACGTCACGTCACGTCACGTCACGTCACGTCAAAAGGAAAGAGAAGCGACAAGCGGAGGCCTTTTAAAATTTACCTCTCTATACTCGCTGATTGCGAAAAATGCGAACGTATATTATAAGGAATCTCACTCGCGAGGATTACATTACCGTTTCTACGTATTGCCCTCCGTAGCGACGTATCGGTATTGATCCATTGTTTAGTTCAAGAATTTGTTGTCAACGGCTCGCCGTCGTTCTTCCCCGTATATTGATTCTCGCGCAGCGCGCGACGGGCCCGGGGCCCAGGAAGGGAATGAAACTGCAGCGAGAAGCGTGTTAACCGGCGAGCGTCAACACGCGCGATCGTTGAATCCACTCACGGCACCAGTGCTACGCGAAAGTGATCGCGTAACATTTTTCTGACAGGGCAGAGAGCTGAGAAACGCGTGAACGTACATCAAGCGTGCGCGAGCGACTCCAGTTTCTCGCCGCGACGCCGGGTTGGGGGACGTCAAATCGATATCTCGTCTCGTCATCGAGCAAGACGAAATAAGTCGGGAAAGTCGAGTGTGACGTTTCGAAAGAATCCTATTTTACCGATGCGAGCATTTGCGGTATATCGAAGCTCGCTTCAAAACAACATGTGACTCGTGGCGAATTTTAGGGGAGAAATGGGATTGTTTTTTTTTTTTTTTTTTTTTTTTTATCAAAGAAAAAGCCTTGCGTATAATGAAAGAAAGATTAGGAACGGAAATAAATATTTATAAATTTTGGAAATGAAAATTTAGAATAAAAAATTCCAAGACCCATGAATACTTTTTTTCGTCGATAAAAGTACTTTTAAAGTAAGCCTTTTGATTGGTTGTTATTTTTAGACGAGATGCACTTCAGAGTATGAGCTTTATGTAATGCATAATGGACACAAAGTAAATATAATATATAGCAATATCTTTTGCAACATTGTACATCACATTTAATTTTTATTTCCAAAATTTAATATTTATATTCCTGTTATTAATATTTCCTCCATTTGTAGGACTTAAGGCCTCAGAATGAACTGGAATAAGAAGTAAGAAATTAAATATAAAAATTAGAAACAAAAAAATTATTTTCACCAATAAAAGAACGTTTTGATATTTTTTGATCACCGAAGCATAAATTTTTATGTCAAAATTTAATTCTCTAATTTTTAATTTCGTATTCTTTCTTGCTGGTTTTATCTAACAGTTTTGAAACAATTCGTACGTCAGACTTAGTCATGATATACGAATTAAGTAGATGCGTTATTGGAACACGGCTAACTTCAAGAGGGAAGGCATATTAAATGCCACTTGTATACTTTCGTTTCCAGGAAGTGACGTCAGGCATACAGTGACTTTCGTGGCATAAGGCCAGGTGATGCGAGTCATCTACGTTCCAGCGAGACAGTCGCTGTCGTAGTGTCTGTCGTAATTAAACTTCAATACCATTTATAATCGAGATTGATGACGAAAAATCGGTATTTTTACGCATAAGATCTCTTCCATTTATCGGTGAGATGTCATGTCGTAATAGAGGATTAATTCTGAGTTATATTATAGGTTAATCGTATCTAATTTTAGTCACTCGCTGGATTATGATTTATAGCATTTTATGCTGTGTCACAAAAAATATTGTACATATATATTTTTCCAAGAGATGAAACAAAGAGTTATCTTTCGGAGGAGAGAAAATTCTTTTAGATATGCATAAGATGAATCGAAAATTGATGATAGCCGAAAATTCGCTGAAACTAATATCTATCATTTTATATTGAGTGAATAGAATCAAATAAACATCGTAGAAGAAATAATTTTTATTAATATATAGTGCAAAAGAATATTCATGTACGAAATAAATGGCAAAAACGTGTATTATTGAGCAGTACAATTAACTAGATTTTTAGTCTTTATTACATTTATTTTCACAAATTTATAAATATATATTTTGCTTGTTATGAATGAATAAAAATAATAGGTCTCTTGTAATGTATTTCATTCTATTTATTATAAAATAACATCTATTTGATTTTAGCAACTTCTCAATTGTTCTATATATTTTGCTTTGGTGATATTAGAATTAAATAAATTACAAAATTCTTCCTATCTGTATATTATCTTATATACAAATATTTATTATTTTGTTAAATATATTTTATTATCTAATTAATTAATAGATTAATTAAAAGCAATTCTATAAATTATAATTATGGGGTAATTTCTGTCAAATTGCTTTACAAGCATTCTTAGTTGTAATAGTTTATTTCTATAAGTGCTATGTGTTAGAATCATATTTTAAAAGAAATTTTAGCAAAACATTAATTTTTACTTATTACATTTATATTATTTAATATATTTGTTCCAATGTTCTTTGTATTCAGAATAAATATTAGAAAACTGAGAAATATAGTAAATTATTAGAAGAAAGATTAGTTATGTCTCTATATGATAAACTTGTTTAAGTTGTGATTATGAAAAATCTATACAATTACATATTTGTTTACCATTTGTTGTTTCAGATAACATGAAATTGTGGATTGTAATAGCACATATCACATTGGTCGCCACTAATTTATGGGTTACAGCCCATTTTCAAGAAGAAATACCCGAGGATAATGAATTTGCAGAATTCGAAGATTTCGAGGAGGAAAAGCCAAGTGTTCTCATCGAACGCGTACCAGAATTGCCTCAGGAAGAAGGATTGAATCAAGATTTTGAGGAGGATGATGTCTTGGTTACAGATGGAGACAACGAGTTTGATCATTTCCAGGATGAGGAAGAATTTGAAGGGTTGGACGTTGCGGGAGGCAACGCTGGTCCGAAAAACGATGAACCTTCCACGTTGACTATTACCAAAGTTCCGTTACATCTGCGAGAGAGATGGGATAGTTATTATTTAGAAATACTAATGATCACTGGACTAGTGGTATACTTTATAAATTATATAGTAGGACGTACGAAAAATGCTCGTATAGTTGAACAATGGCTAATGGATCATAAGCAGCTTTTATTAGATAATTTTTCTCTCATTGGCCATTCAAGCAAATCAAATGAGAACGCAAACGATAATGGTTTTGTAAGACAGAGCGAATCACAATACAGTCTTTATTGTTCCGGACGTGTCGGCTGTGATTCAATGCTTATTGAACTGAAATTAATAAAGAGACAAGACTTAGTCGCTGTATTGGCTCAATTAGTACGTCCACAAAACGATCAAGTTCACATAGAAGTGGAACTCGCAAAAGACGAAATAGATAATTTCGTTTTAGCAGCTGCTACAAAACGGATAGCGATGCATTTAGTACGCGATATGGCTGATATTAGCGTATATTGTCCGGAGAAACGAGCCGGAGAAAAGTTCGGTCTTCCATCAGGCTTTTGCGTAATGTCTGAGATTCCAGAAGCAGCGGCAGCTATCTTGGATACCAGGGTTCAGCAAGTCTTCTCAAAGTTTGCACCTTACATAGAATATATTCATATTAGCGATCAATTCAGTGGACGCAAACCACAGGAGTAAGTGAAGATGTATTAACCAATTTAGATGGAATAATGATTTAAATATAGTAAGGTTAATATTTCATAGATTTTATGATAAATTAGAATGAATGTATTGATTAGCTGAAGAATAATAAAGTTTTCAAATTTCTAAGAGAATTTTACTATTCTTTAATTAATCAAATTTGTTTGATATAAATACATATAACATATGAAATATATTTACCTAAAGAGTACACATATAATTATATATATATATATATATATAATTATTTTCATATTAAATTGCGATAAATAATAATTAACAATATTAACATTTAATTTCATCTTAGAGATACTACTCAGTTAACAATGCCTGAAGTTAGAAGAGTATTGTTGATAAGCCTGAATATAAGTCTTAAGGGTCGTATGTACAATCCGGAAACACAAGAAAAACTTAAACCTTTACTTCAACTCGCTTTCTATTTAATTGATAAGCTGCGACGTTTTAAATTATCTAAAGAGGTTTGTATTTCTTTATTTTAGTTAAAAATTTTCTTAAATATCACAATTATATTTTCATTATATACACAGGGTAAAAATAAAGCGGATAAAAATCGACTCAAAGTGGAGGAAGTTTTTCTGAAAACAACGCATGCCGCAAGAGCCGAAGCTGCGGCACAAAGACGAGAGGAGCGTCGAAGAGCCGAACAGGAGAGAATTCTCCAAGAGGAAGATCCCGATAAACAACGAAAGTGGGAGGAAAAGGAACAACGAAGGTTGGCTAAAAAACGTGCTCCTAGAATGAAGCAACTCAAGGTGAAAGCATTGTGATACAATCAAAACTAACGAGTTGGATTGCTTTATCCAAAAAAAAAGAAACAAATTTACTATCATACTCAAGAAAAATTCATTGGGAAATGTACTTCGTCTAAATTATCTACAAAATATGCTAACTTAGGTCTTCATTGAGATTCATATATTCACTCAGTGTTCTCATATGAAGTATCAAACTTATTAAAGAAAGTACAAACGACTGTGAAAAAAAGTATCCTGTGAATTGTAAGTTTGTTGTAACGTATACTTTATTTGCCCTATACTGCCAGCTTACATACTTAAATATCATAGAGATAAATAATATTCCCTGTTGAAATGAGAATAAAATTTAGCGTATACTATATATACATATGAAATTATATTATCATACCTCTTTTAATACTATATATCAACGAACTAATAGAATAAAATAACATAAAATCATAACCTTTTAACATTGACAAAACAATATGTTCAAAAGAAATTCATGCTAACATTCCAAGAAACTTTTTTTTCTTTTATCTGACATAAATAATTAATTCAATAATTTATATTACTGCAATACCTCCAATAGATATATCTAATAGCTTTTATGCTATTTACATTTATCATATAAATTGGTGAATGTCAAAAGTGAATGTCAGACTTTATCTTATAAAGTGTAAAGAACATTTATTGTATGAAATAATAATAAATTATCTGTTTTCCAAGCAACGTGTCACAGTACGTTTAGCTTAAATATATATATTGTAATATATAATAGCAACGCTTAGCGTGAATATATATAATTGTCTGAACGATAGATCAATCAGAAATATATGTATTAAATTTATAAATATCAGTAGACTGAAATTTTTTCATGTAATTTTATTGCGATTTTGCATATCAAGTGCAAAATTGAATAATTTTAGAGTTGAATGATTTATTTTAGATAATAATTAATGATTACTAAGTATCAATTGTGAAAAATCTTAAACGACAATCGTGGATTTAGAGATATTTCTTTTCACTAAGATAAAAATACACTAAGATAAAAATAAATAGATCTAAGGTATTCTTTACGCGTCATTTGTAATCTGAGAAGCGGAAGAGAAACAATTAAATTAAGGAACTTCCAGATTATGCAGAAGTTTCATATTACTCTGAATGACCGTTTTAGAAACCAGAAAGTTGCTATCCGATACAAAGTCTGCTATAACTATATTGAGTCCTCCGCGACCAGGACGATTCTGATTTATCCAGGAGAGGATTGCCTTCTGGCAGCGAGACGCCAGGTCCCTTTGCAGAGTACCGCACAAATGTTTTACAACGTAGGACGTATCCGGCGTCAGCAGACATTGCGATACGAATGCGATGTCCAACGATCTATTCTGCAGTTCGACATTCAAGAAATCTATCAGTTCGTCCACGCGGACAGTGTTAGGCCATACGGTACGCCAAAGGCCAGACGGCCACAGATTCGCGTAGTTGCGCGCGTAAACGTTTCTGTAAATCACGAACACCTGATATCTCTTCAGGACCAACCACTGTAGTGTTATATGATCAAATTTGGACGAGACCGGGCACAATTTCCCCCGGAAAATATGGATTATTTTCTCCACGAGACGATGATGATCCTGATCCGTGAAGGCATAGAAATGCTGGAAGTCCAGGATAACGATCTCGTTCGCATGCGAGCTGAGCCAATTGGCTACGTCTAGAAGCGGTTTGCTGACTTCCGCTCCGTACAGACCATGAAGGAAGTATATATCATTAGTTCTCGGCTTTGTAGCAACGCGCAGATCTAAATATCGGATTCCACCATTGAGTTGTCGCTTGATATCATCGCGTTGTGTAATAGACCAATTTAAAATAATAGGCTTGGCAACGAACGAGCAGTAACGGCCGAGTGTTCGGATGAAGGCGGGTTCGTCCGGCCCCACGTCGTTGCGCCTCTCGATCGTGTAAGTCATGGTATCGTGAGAACCTGTCGGAAATTACCAGTTTGTATTATAATCGTTAATTCTCGGGAGATACTGTTTTTTTTACGTTAAATGTGATCATTTGATTACTCATCCACGTTCGCTTTAGTTGCAGTTAAAGAATACTATACATCGAATCGAATTCACACATGTAGAATTTATGAATACGATTTTCCTCTATGCTTTGTCATAATTTGTTTTGCTTCAAAATGAATATTTATAATTTGAAAAGACTTGAAATATCACGAATCACTTCTCGAAATATCACGATAAAAACAATAGAAAGAAATCCAAGGCTTGGAACTCTCAAGTTAAGGAAACCCGAAAATAATGCTAGAATTTTTTGGATAAATGAAATAAAATGATTTCAATAAATGTTTTCAAAATTCTTAATTTAATTATGCATAACATACATAATTACACAAATGCAAAAGTTTTAATTCTGATTTTGAATATAGAAATTTGTAAATGAATGTAAATAAAAAACGCTTTTCTTTCAATTATTTCTATCGAGGAGGATTAATAATTAACAGTTTATTATCGGTTTATTATCGATTTGTTATCGATCAAATCGTGGCTCGAGCGACACTGAATGAAATCCATCAAGAAAAATAAATTTTTGCAATCGCACATGTAACTTCTCTTAACTGCGCATCAGACAGAGCGATTTGAACGTACCGGGTATCGCCAGATGTATTATGGGTATATTCTTGAGCGGCGCCGGAAACCGAGTCATCCAAAACTCCAGATCGTCGGTCAAAGCTGCGCTCGGCCATCGCGCGCCGGTGACAACCTCTCCCTTTACATCTTCCATGATCGAATCACTAGCGATCCCAATTCAGGGTTCAAGTCACGTTGGTCAGGTCACGCCTCTTATCGCGACGTAGTCGCGGGGCGCGACCGCAGGTGACCGCGTGAGACGCAAATGACGCACTGCCGCGGTGCGATGTCGGCGCTTTATAGGTATTCATGTACTTTCCCACGGTGATTTCCGGCCGCACTCCACCGTGCGCTCGTTTAAGCGTAACCTCGCTCTGCGAAATGCGGCTCCTACTACATATGACATGCATCTGCATTTACATTTTGATGAAGGGACATAAATTCCTCGCTTCCTTACAGAATCTTTTACATCATACTACTTCCGTGAGCGGAACTACTTTGCCAAAAGAGATAGCGATTCATCCGAATCGATGAAATTTGTTGAATTCAATAAATGACTTCGAGCCCTCTCTACGAGATAAACAATGCGACACGTGCTCTTTGCTCTGCGCATACGCGTGTCTAGTACACATAATTTATGAACATACCACGTGGGGCACGTATGTCAAATCTTGATAAATTTGAGTTTCGTTTTTGCGTATGCTAGAATCAATCAAAAGCAAACTTTGTCTTGTATTTGTGCTTATTTATATACTCTTTAGGATGAAGTTGGAGTAAGAAATATTATTCCGAAGACCCGGCTACAGTTTTTTCCATCTGAAATTATAATTTGAATGCATATTTGAAATTCATATGTGGTTGGAAAATACCAAACATGTTTTATTGTTATCTTTCAAAAATATTGCAAGAGTTTAGATTCGATGTAATACAAGGCTGCGTAGTAAACTACTTAATTAATTAAACAATAAAAAGTTAACTTTTATCATAATTAATCTCAAATAAATTAATTTTTAACTAGTTACTTCAACTAGTTACTTTTGAAAATTTACCCAACTCTGCAATTATATATTTTTCTGATATTAATGGAAATTGTGTCAAAGGAATATTTTTTGAGCTGTATTAAAGAATACTGTAGCAAATGAACTTTTCCGTGTAATTATATCGCGCACTTTACCTGTGAATCATCATCTTCGATCATGTCGGAAATGTTATGCTTTTCCAGTATATTCTGAAGCGAATAAATAATCTTTTGTTTCTGATCGGCGCAACATGAGATACAAATGTCACTTGTGCAGACATGTTCTTGTAACTGAAAATAATATCTTTGTTTTGTACATATGTACATATATTATACACACAGAGATATAAACAAGGCATTACACATGTTAATATATTATATTTGTTAGAATATTTTCATAAAAAATATTTAGCTAAACAAAGCAACTTTACTACTCTTATTATCAAAGTATTTATGTGTAATCCTTATATTCTTTGTGTCCAAGGACTTGTAACTCCTGCTCATAAAAATTGCAACGAAATCAAGAAAAAGTCAAGGTCAACTTGGAATGATTTCATCAGAAGACTAAGACTTGAGTCGGATTGAAGTCACCAGAGATATCAGTCATTAAGAATATCCTTTGAATACAAAAAAATAATACCTCTAATGCCTCCAGAACGCTTTCTTTGGCTTCGTTCAGGATCTTGTTCAATTTATTGAATTCCTCGCATTTTTTTCGCACATCCGTCAGAATTTCCTCCCGAGCTTTTTTGGTTTCTTGCAATTGTTGTTCGAGGATCTTCGTCTTCTCCTGCGACGCCGCGCATCTCGCATTGTATTCTTTCATCGCTTGCTTGTAATTGCCAAGCCTTACATTCTCACGTTGTATTCGACCGAATTCGAGGATCGTATCGATGTATTTCTGAGCGAGTTCGTGCATGGCGCGTTTATATTTTATCGCGTCTTCTTGCGCGATATTGGCCTCGCCCTCGAATAGCTCACATTGCAATCTGAGTAGACGATCGGTTTCCTTGCTTTCCGTGCTTTTCTTTTCCAGATCCCGACAGATCTTTAACATCGAATTTAGCTCGTGATTCAATGCGATATTTCTCCTGATAGCGTTGTGCATCACGTCTGCCATACGGACATCCGTCGCTTCCTTGAATTCCTGAGCTAGCTGCTGCAATCGTTCTTCTATCTCCTTTTGCATCCTACAACATAGGATTATTTGCATAAGCGACATAAGAAATTTTATTAAAAATTATCTTCAAGGCGTGCAAATTTTTCTGCAAGTAAAAAAAAAAAGAAATCGCGCGTCTTCTGAACTTTTTAAACATGCAACAATTATGAGAGAAGCATTGACTGATCGTTTACTTGGCCTTGGCAATAATGACTGATTTTTCCGTCTCGTAGAGCGTTGTTTTGTGTAATTCATCTTGCTTTGCCATTTCTTCCTCTTGCACCTCGAACTTGTGCATTAAATCCAAGCGAGCCAATCTCCAATCCTCCAACGCGTTCAGCTTCCCAGCTGATGAAATAATAAAAATACGCAATTCGTCAATCTTATCTGTATTTCTTTTTTTCTTTATATATTACTGACATATTTACTTGCAAGTTTTACTTCGGCACTTAAATTGCTCTCCATAGTACGATATTCTAGTTCCATCGCGTTTTCCTTCTTCTTATATTCAGCTTGTTCCTGCTTTCTCAACTCTTGCATGGCCGTCAAATGTTCCTGCAGCTCGCGGGTCTCTTCCATCTTGTTCTCCAAATCCCATTTTAGATACGCTACGATATCAGATCGATCCTCTTTCATCTGCTCGTATTGCTTCGTCAAGTTCTTCATCTCGATTTCAAGCTCTTCATTTCGACTGCGTAGCCTTAAATAAAGAAGTATCCAGAAAAAATATATCAATATCAACGTGAATCAGAGACAAAAGCAAGAACTGATTGCTCGATCTTAATGAACAAACCGTGACAACTGCCTATTGTTGTCTACAAGTTGTTGTTCGTAAGACAGAATTTCTCGTTCGTTCAAGCATTTTTTCCGTACTTTCTTTTCCTTATCACCCTCACGTTTCTTCTTGAGCATCTTGCTATTTTCATGCGCAAGTTACATCGGTTATGTATATTCCGTACGTGAAACCACACCCTTGTCAATTTTCTTTTTCATTCTCAAATTATTTGTATCGAAAGCATATTGTGTTAAGTCGAAATTTGTGAAAGATCGAGTCGAGAGGACTCTTAAATTTAAACAGAACTATCGCATTATCCTCATTGTCCATTGCACAACACATCTGAACACGTCAAATATCGATGTAACTTTTGAGATTGGTTGCATCTTATTCTCTCTGTTACCATAGTAAAGAAATAACAAACCACACACACGGCGCATCTTCTAAAAAAGTATATAAGAGTACGAGGTACATGTGTGAATAAATGTCAACACAATATAATTAATATAAAATATCAATTGAAATAACATAATTCTTACACAACATAATAGAAGATATTATTACATAATAGAAGATTATAACGCGCGAAACATAATCATATGACATATATTTATATACAGGATATTTCAAACCGATGCTTTAAATATCAATTACGTCTTAAATATCAATTGCGTCTTTTTTACTTACAATGGTGTGATGGAATGAAGCAATAAATTTGTATCCCGATTTTATATTCGTTCGTATAGTAATATATGTAGCAATGTATATTATATCAATAAATCCTAATATGTCCTGTATATAATCTAATAAAATAAGTCATAAAATAAGAATGTAAAAATAAAAGTTCAGACACAATGAATGAGAATATAAGGAATTAAATCTTAAAGAAAGAAAAAACAGAAAATTATTTTTGACCGATAAAAGAACATCTTGGTACTCTCTTTGTGTATCAAAGCATGAATTCCTATATCGAAATTTATTTCTAATTTCTTTATTTCTAATTTTCTATTTTTAATTTCTTATTCCTTATTTCTTTTGTTGTGTCTGGATTCTAAGAAATATTATACTTGGCATATACATTATGTACCAATGATACGCTTCTACATTTTCATTTCACTTAGCTTTGATGTATGTACAGTCCAATCTATTTGCACAGTTACAATCATTTTACACAGCCACTGCGATATCATGCGTTTGAAGATTGTAATATTCTTTGGCAATAAAACAATTTTATTAGATAAATAATCAACAACCTTTTAATTCATATTTTATATTACAGCAATGTTTTGTAATAGTTTAATATATATCATGTGTAAGCTAAGGTAATTACAAATGTGTCACTGAAAAAAATTACATATACATGATTTAATAATTATACAAAACCATTGTGAAATAATATCGCTGCGAAAATAGCATGATATAAACGATTGCAAACTTAAACATGAATTTAAATTGAACATAAATTTGTTATTATTGTGTGTTGTTGTGTTGCACAAAGAAAGAATATTAAAATTTTTTATAATAAACTTGTTCACCTTATGGTCAATATCTCTACTAACGTAACATACATTGAGCTTAATAATGGAACTTTATAAACTAGGAACTAAGCTCAGAATCCATATATTAAGCATAAGACAATAAAAGTAATTTAAATAAAAATTATCAATTATAGTAGTGGAATACTCTTATAACTCTTAACAAATTTAGAAGTAATCTGTTAAAATTACTATGATATATACATTTAACGCATTCAAATATCGCGTTAATATCGATTCGAGGTTATTTAGTTTGCATCATCGAAAGGATGTTATCAAAAATGATGTCCCAATATACGAATCTCTTATAAAATTCTTTCCAAGCTTATATCTAGAAAAATCTATGTATATTCATATATGTATACGAGATAAAATGAATGAACGTACAAAATTTAGTTAACAGGAGGTCTCGGTGGGGGAGGTGGCTGCGGTCTGCGGAAGTATATAATAAGACTAAGCATTCCTGTAAGAAATCCGATAAGATATAGATCCCAGTTCTGTCCGAGCAATTGATCCCATTTGTCCAATTGATCGACCAAACTGAATTCTTGCAGGTAATCAAAGCCAAAGAGAAAAGAAAGTTTGATCAAAGCTAATGCTACGGGTATTCGCGCGTCGGGACTAGCATCCGCGGCTAAATCATAGCATCGCTTGGCTAAATGCCGATCTTTCGCTAAACCTAGACCACGTTCATGCATATATCCTAAATTGAACATGGCTTGAGCGTTGTGTTGCTGCTCCGATGCCGAACGGTAATGACCCGCAGCGGCCTCGTAATCAACTTTTGTTCCTCTACCATAGTAATGTGCATCCCCGAGTTTTACCTGCGGCAAAACGAAATTCACATCGATCTCGAAAAACATAAATCTCATTATTCTTGTCGGTGAGACATTTCGATTTATACACCTACCTGCGCCGCGGAATATCCTTGCGCAGCAGCTCGCGCCCACAGTGCCAGAGCTCTAACTAAACCTTCTTCCTCCGATAAAATATCGGTTTCTCCTCTATCTAGAATAAACGCTGCATTACTTTGCGCAACTTCGTAACCCATTTCGGAAAACAGGGCATAATTGAGGAATGCTTCGTTCACTCTGCCTTCTCTGTAATCAGCATGCGCTACCATCAATTGATCGCTCCATTTTCCTCTTTCGGCAACGTTTTTCATTAACTCTACGGCTGTCGGACAACTTCTCATCATTCCAGTGCCAGTGGCATGCATCTGTGCGAGATTATAATATGCAAGCACATGACCGGATTGACTGGCTAAACTGAAATACTTGTTTGCCATTTTATAATCTCGTCTAACTCCGATGCCACCTAAAGAATAAATAATGTTATTATATATATATATTCTTATCATTTATGAATATTGTTATTTAAGAATATGATTTAAAAATTATTACTTAAGAATAAAAAATATTATTCACAAAGTATATATAAAAACTTACTGAAATACATATTGCCTAATTGTAATTGTCCGTCAACCCAGCCTTGTTCCGCAGCTTGACTAAAATATTGCAATGCCTTAGCAGTATTTCTTTCTACTCCCATTCCATATAAGTACATCAGACCCAATCCACTCTGACCTACAGGATTACCCAATTCCGCAGCTTTCTTAAAATATTTATATGCTGTTTCATTATCTTGTTTGACAATTTCACTTCCTTCCAAATAAATCTATAAATACGCACAAAGAAATAAATGCTACATAATTAGAATCTATTATATATATAATGCATATATTTTGTATGCATATATAATAAATTATATTCATCCAACTTATATAAAAATAAGTATCATTGTTAGTTGCATTTCATACTTTTCCAAGGAAAGCCATAGCTACTGGATTGCCAGCATCAGCAGCGTGTTGAAAATACTGCACAGCTCTTTCGTGATCCAAAGGAACTCCTCGACCACCTTGATAATGAAGCTGTCCAAGTCCAACTTGTGCTTGAGTATCACCCTTTTTGGCTAACAATTGATAGTACTCTATCAAATCTTGATCAAAGATTCCCGAGGTATATCCTGGATTCTCATGTTCATCCAACAATCGAACACGTTGAACTACTGGGCCACCACTCAACGACACCTCTTCTGCGACCTTCTTCGCCACTTTTCGATAGAAATCTAAAGCACGTTCGCAAGATGCAGGTGTTGTTACACCTGCCCAATGACGATATCCCATTACCATTTGTGCACGAACATCACCACCAAGGGCAGCTATTGTATAATGCAGTAGAGCTCTTCCTTGAGATGCATTAACGCCACCAATACCAGTCGCATATAGAAATCCCATTCCCTATATAATAAACAATAATTTATTCAAAAATTCTTTGTCTGCAAAAACTCAATATTATTTATCACGTATAAATAGTATATATACCATATGAGCAGATGGAAGTCCGGTATCTGCAAGTTCCTTGAAAACTTTAAATATATTAACTATGTCATCAATTGCGACTCGTGGAGAAATAGGAGCTAAAGGAGTTCCGAGTAATCTCGCCCATGCCAACAGAGATCTCGCTTCTCGATGGCCTAACTTTGCTGCTTCGATAAGCAGTCTATAACCCTCTTGCTTGTTAGCGCGCATTGCATTTATGATACTTTCTGCTTTCTTGTACAATTGCTCAGCTAAAAAAGAATATAACGATGAAGAAAAACTGTCAAAAAGTAACACGAGTAAAATTATACTTTCCAGTGAAAATAAAGTCCATTTAACTTCTGACTTGCCTGCTTGCTGTTCCATTGACAACGGCTCTTGGACCTCTTCCTCAAGCGATTCATAGAGCTCTTGCGCTTCCCAGGATTCCATAGCTTCTTCATCCAATGGCTTCTCATTTAATACCAAGGAGTCTGTGTCCTTTGTTTGAGCAATCATAGTCTTCATCCATACATTTCTCGTTCCTGGATTTTCCAGAGTCTCTTTGCCAGCAGCCTCCGTCTTGCTCTCCTCTTCATCCTTCCTGCCAGTCTGCTTGCTGATTTTCTCGTAGACCGGATCGGACGCTGGCACGAGCTTTAATATCGTGTCGCGCAGAGCACTCAGCTCGCGCAGCTGTTCGAAGGCATTCTCGATATCCTCGGCGGCGACCTCCTCCTCCGTCTCCTCGTTAGTGTTCGACTTCTGCGTGATATCGCCGCGCTTCTTCGAGCCGTTCTCCGCAGCGCTCAGGTGAGAAAACCAGGCGAGGAATAGCAGGAACACGACGACAACTCCGTTGGACTTCATGGCTCGTGCAAACGCTCGAATTCAAACGCGGGGCCTCATTACAAACCTACAACACCGGTGACCTTAACGCGCTCATCGCCCTCACGGGCACGCGGTATACGAGGCACACGCGCGATTGATCACACTCGACACGCACATACGTGGACATTCGCGAGAATTCCGTCCTCTTCGACCAATTACGTCATTAGGACACGTCAATACGCATCTTCCCGGCGGCAAGACCGACGTGTGTGTCAACAAAAACGGGCCGCGGAATCTCCGGCGACGCAGGACGGAACGAGAAACCGTTGCGCTCGCGTGTATACACGCGTTACGACACGCCGCACGGGAAAAGGACATTCGCTAAGTCAGCTGTTCGCGCTAAAAGCGTGCCTCGATCGCCATAATAATAAACGCTCGCGCGACGCGCGCTGCCTGTCGGTGCCAGGGTGCCAGCCGCGCGCGAATACGTCGTCTTACGTGTACTGCACCTTGTTTACACCGCGCGACCTCGGGGACACGTCGTTCATCGACCGGGCACGGAGATACGAGAGGACAAAACTTTTCCGTTCTCGGATATTAAAAGTTATTTCGACATTATCGGTTTCCTTTGTCCTCGCGCGACACGCGCGTATGACGAAGCGAGGGAACATAGATATGTCTCGCAAGTTTAAATTACACTAGATAGAGATAGATAAATAGAGAAAAAAATGGGTGTAATAATAATAATAGTGTCTTCCACCTTCGGAATTGAGCCGTCAAGTTGTCCCAACTGCACCTCGCAACCGCACCTCGTGCGAGTCGACTTGTAGGTTATCTGGGTAAAAAGTAAATTCCTTGTGTATAAAATTGCAAAAAGATAAGAGATTCTTTTCTTCGAGATTTCATTAGAAAGAAAAAGAGGAACGAGAATATTTTGAAATTTAAATAAATGAATTTTTTTTTTATTATTTTGATCTTTCTAAAAGCTTGTGTTCGATGATCCCGCAATCATTGGCAATCGTTGAATAACAATTGCTCGTGATTGGAGCGAATCTTTGAATCTACCAATCAAATCCGTGTTTTGAACGTTGGCTGCTACGTAAACGTGGCGAAATTAATACTGATGAACTATTAAAAGTTAACAATCTTTATAGAAATTCGTAGGGCTGATAAAATTTAAATAGTTTATATTATAATATTAATAATATTAATTATATGATACTATAATATTAATTATATGATTTATTATTCTAATATTTTATTTACGATGTATGTATTTACTTAAGTATATGATTTTATGTAAAACTTAATTATTATATGTATATCCTTTATTTATATAAATGAATAGTCGTATATTTTGTTACATTTACATGGACTATTAAAAAATTGTAATTTTGCAAAAAAATTGTAGCGGTATATGTTATTATAGTATTATTTATAAAGCGTTTGTATAATAAATTACGAGTTATAAGTATATTGCGTTATAAATTAATATAATAAATTAATTGCACAAATATTTGTGTTAAAAATTTAAATCAATCTATAATATCTGTATTTTTCAACTATTTCCGGATGCCATTTTCCGGATATCATTTTTGATATGTCAGATTTTGATATTCCACTTTTTTAGAAAATTTCTTCAAGCTTCTAGAAAATTGCTGAGTAAATAAAGTTTAACTTCATCTTGCTTTTCTTTTTGTATTTTGCAAAATGCAAATAATAATAAAATAAATCTATCGAAATTATACACATGTACAAGATGTTTAAAAAAATGGTAAGCAATGCATATAATATATGAATATATTAGTAAAATATATTCTTTTTGTTTTATAAAAATACAAAACTTTTGAAAAATTATTCAGGAGAATATATGATTTTAAAAATTTATAGTCAAAGTAATAAATTTTGACTTATTTTTTTATCCCCAGAGATTTAGACAATTGAGATATTTAATGTGAACATTTATTAAAAATGTCAGTTGAGATATTTAATGTGAACATTTATTAAAAATGTCAGTTGAGAAGTTATAAATCTTTATAAATTAACATAATAAAAAAACAAACTGACACTTGTTTAATTAACATACTTGTAACAAACAACTTCTCATTTTAAGATATGAATATAAAAATTTAAATGAAGACTTATTGTTAAAATATATTATTGTTAAATTATCATCGTCGATATATTTTGCTACTTTTTTATTGAAAAATAGCAATGATTATAGTAGTGAGAATATTATATTCTAAAAAATTTTAAATTGAAATATTATGTTAATAAGAACATGATTTATCGAAGATGTTTACTCATTTCTAAAGATATACAAATATTGAACAAAGTTTATTGAGCATTTAATCTAATCATTATTGGTGCTAAAAATATATTAACATATCGTATATTTTTAAGTAAAAATAGTAATTGATAAAAATAAAAAGGGAAATATATAACGAATTATGATATACAATATATACGTATGGCG